AAATAATACATATGCATTTCTTTAATTTAGAATTATGTGTCTACAATGTCTTTATTCAAAAAAAAAAATTATTCATTATCAATAAAGTAAATAAGAGAAATAATTTCATTAGTGATATTGTCTTTATTTTTCTCCAATATAAAAATTCTTTACATTGAAATTTATCAATTGATTATATTCGCTACATTGTCCCAACAATGTCTTTATTAAAAAATTATTCATTATCAATAAATTAGTTAAGAGAAATAATTTTATTAGTTATATTGTCTTTATATTTCTCCAATGTAAAAATTCTTTACATTTAAATTTATCAATTGATTATATTCACTACATTGTCTATTATTTTTTTTGTGTACTATTTTTTAATTAAATATCAAAGTTATTATACAAAATAATGCTATATATTTATTACCAAGTATTTTATTAATACCATGAATTTTTTTAAAAAAAAATTAATAAAGCTAATCATATTAACTACTTGAGGGATTTGTTGACAATCAGCAGTTAGCAGTTAGCGTTAGCGGATTTAACCAGCGAATTATATCAACTATTAGTAAAAAGATATTTGAAAAGATTAGCTATTTAGATTAACATGTAAAATGACCTAAGGGTATACATATATTTAATAATAATAATAATAATAATAATAATAATAATAATAATAATAATAATAATAATAATAATAATAATAATAATAATAATAATAATAATAATAATAATAATAATAATTGTTTTAAAAAATAAAAAAATAAAAATATATATAATTAAGCCAATCATATTAACTACTTGGGGGATTTATTGACAAAAAGAGTATTCAAATCACACAACAAATTAAAGTGGGAAACTCTCTCGCAATGTCCTTGTTTGGCAATCAGCCGTTAGCTCTTCAACATTAGTATATATTTAATATTTTATGTCCTAATCTTTTTTTGCTCTCCCTTATGTCCCTATTTGGTTTCAACCATACCTATACAATTATTTTATTGACAATTATAATCAATCTTGACTATATTATCTTGTATTTGTAAACTTAGAATTACCTATTTAAATATCCAAATTCAACATTCAATTATCTATGCATGAATAGTTCCAATATAATCTTGCCTTGATATACTTTAAAATACTTATTCAAAAAAAAACATTGGGCATTATCTCAATCGCGCAATGCGCGTAAAAAACTAGTATAATAAATAAGAGAGAAAAGAGGCGAAGGGAAGAAGAAAACAACAAGAAATTAAAGTAGCGAGAATAAAAAAAATAAAAAAATAGTAAATAAAAGAAAAGAAGAAGAGTGTATGCTAGGATTTTGTTACTTATCGAAGATGGTAATTCAGAGCTTTCCACACAACCGGATCAGTCTACCATAGTTGATCGGTACTTCCCTCGCAACCAATCTTTTCAGGGCTTCCCACACCAACATGACCCATTGTAAACAGAACTAGAGGCCCGCCAATATCATATGAACACAATAGTGTATCAAAATAAGTCCCTCACACTGTCCATATCTAGCAGAATAACCTCAACAAGGAACTCAACTCAACAAAGGAATTCTCACAAGGCAAAGAATTCAAATGGATTGCAAAAGAGAAATACAACATATGAATAGATCAAGGTAATAATTCAAACTCATAAAAAGACAACGACTACCAAGAGGGTCACGTTAGAATCAAGAAATCGATATCAATAGCATAACGAACAACAAATTCTCTTTGGATTGAACAAAGGATTCAAAACAGGAATTTCAATATAATTCGTAAGAATATCAAAGAATATGATTCATTGATGATTAATAGTCCAAAACCGAAGCAGAGGATTCACAAGATATTACAATAAATCATACTTGAACCAAAAGTTAGACCAAAATGCACTGGAACAATAAAACAGTACTGGAAGCAGAATAATTAATAACCAACGGGACTATGAGGCGGGGTCAAAGGACCCGCCGGCCCCTACCGTGAGTACTAGGTTACCCTAAAGCGTGTTTTAAGGTATGTCAAAGCTACTATAGACTATGGGCTATGTTTTACGAAATTAGACTTAGACAACATTCATGCATTTTCGGATTCTGATTGGGTGGGATATCATGATGACCGCAAGTCCACTAGTGATTTTTCTGTCTTTATTGGTAAAAATCTAATTTCATGGGCTAGCTGCAAGCAAAACACAGTTCCTAGATCATCAACAGAAGCTGAATACAAAGCTATAGCCGATGTCTCAGCAAAGGTAACATGGTTAGTTGATTTAATTAAAGAACTTGGTCTTACTATGCAAAAACCACCAAAATTTTGGTGTGACAATCTTGGTGCTAACTATTTGTGTGTAAGTCTTGTGTTTCATGCTCGAACCAAACATGTTAAAATAAACTACCATTTTATTCGTGACAAAGTAATTACATCATATTCCAAAGGAACTACAAGTAATTAAACCAAATCTCTAAAAGCTACTAACCACAGCAAGGTTCAATTATGATCTAAGGAAAAACTCAATATTCTCTCTAGAGAACCTTAAACTTGAAGGGACGTATTAGGACTTTATGCTCTAGTTACACTAGAATTCTTGCTCCCTCTCTCTCTCTCTCTCTGTATTATTGTAAATCTACCTTAACTTTTATAATTCATTAATTCATGATGACCTGACTAAGACTCTTTGTATTCTTATAAATACATTTCTTTCTATGCTTTGTAAATTGAATTGATCAATTATATAATAAGATTCTCTCTAGAAATTCTTGTCCATATCCTCTCAAATATTCTTTTCTTGCTTTTTTTTTTTTGTTTTTTTTTTTTGTTTGTTTTTTTTTTTTTTTTGTGTACTAATCGAATTTTCTGACCCTTAACGCTCCCATCTTCTTTTATCCTTTCACTAGCCTTTTTATTTTTCAAAACAGTAAGGATGAATTGAATAAGGAGATTTGGTGACAATATATCCAAAGAATCAGATCAGATGGTATCCATATATCCTTCCTCACGTACGGAAAACGTTATGATATACTATAATTAAGAATGCATGTATTTGGTGATCAACAGAATAATGTAGACATGCTCAATAGCTACTGCTAATTTCGTCCCACATTGCTTGCAAAGAGTGAGCGTATGCCTGTTAAACACTATAAAACAAGCAGGCTGTAATCTTGTTTACTCGTACCTTTCTCGGCCTTTTGGCTATGATCAAGTGTAGTTTCTGTTCTTATTAGTTTAATATATCTAATATGCGTCAATGGTCTGCACGATATTAACTCTATATGTTTAGGGAAATGCCTAATAAGGTAGATTGCTACTTGGACCTTTGTGCGATGCCTCGGTGTTGCACTACTGCTTTGGCTTGGCGTACTCTACCCATCCGAGTCCAAAGCTTTTAACTCATTAGAAATTCCCTTGGATGCCATTATATTTATTTAAGACTCAGCCCACTTAATATCAATTATTATAGTGTAGAGATTATAAATAAAACTATATTATTTGTATATTCAAAGTACATAATTTTCTATAGGGTTAATTTCACTCATCGTTGTCGTCAAGAATCTTTGCCCCAGCCTTTTCACATAGATAGCGCAAATTATGTTGTGTAATTGTGTGCAACCATGCATGGTGCACTTTTCACATAGATAGCGCAAATTATGTTGTGCAATTGTGTGCAACCATGCATGGTGCACACGGTTGCAAAAACATCGTCATTTTGAATAAAAACGACGCGTCCGACTTAAAAAAAAATCAATTTTGATTGCCGTTAACGGCTTTATATTGTGCATAATTTGAACTATATATCCAGAATGAATGAACTATATAGTTTAAATTATGCACAGCATAACGCTCCCACAAATAGGCAATGAAACTATTAGTGGCAAAGGCTTAAAGCTTGAAATAACATGTGTAATTTTTACTGTTCCTGTTAAGCAAACAATCTGGGCAATCAATCAAAATGATGCAAAAGCCAAATGAGAGAAACTTCGACGGCCTCAGCAGGCTTAGCCAAGGAAATGCCAAGCCCCGCAGCTCCTATGCCCATAACATCTCTTCTTAATTGAAACAGCAGTCCGAGTTTCCTATGCCTCTTCTTTACCTCTTTCCTAAACGCAAAAGAAGATGATTAGACAAAAGCAACTTACGCCAATTCTAAGAGTTCTCTCGGGAATTTACTCATGTAATTTTGCATTCTCTCAATTTAATGATATTAATTAAAAGGCTGACAAATTAGTCTGACAGATTCAGCCATGATATCGGTCAGATAGCTGAAACACTAAATAACTTACGAAAAGATTAAACTAAGGGAGACATCGAAAGGAACAACACACAAGATGTTTACCCAGTTCGATACAGTGTGTATCTACATCTAGTGGACGATCACATAGGCGTCCAATCCACTAACAAATCATCCAATGTACAAAGGTAGAGAATAGTAATCTCACCCAAGTGCCCCACACAAGGTAAGTACCCAGTCTACACTGACTTAGTGGATTGTAGAAGATGGAGAGCCGTGCATACAGAAGTCCAATTAAGTCCCTTCACTTGGAGAGCTAACTCTGATGCAGTTTACTTCAATGATGCAGTCCAACGTTGTTCCCACAACTATATGATCTTAGCGTCCTTTTCGTTTAAGCAACGATATCACTAGTACAAAAAATATCAATGAAACCGAAGGTCGCCGTCGCCGCCGCCGTCACTCGTCTGAGTCCTCGCCGCTGCCGCCACCGGTCTCCAAGGTCGTCGTCATCTTCTTCCTCCATTGCCACCGTTCTCTAGCCCCCCGCCGCTGCCGCCACTCGTATGCAGTCCTCTTTGGTCGCGATGGAGATGATCCTAATATCGCGAAACTTTTCCACATTGAACCTAGTGCAAAACGCCCCTCTTTGGTCTTACTTAAAAAGGAAGTAGAGAAAGTGACCCATTATGGTTAGTTTATCTTTTATTTTTTCAATTAGATGCTAAAATTGGATCCTCTTAAATTTACGAAGTCTTGAAAGTTTTAAAGAAAAAGAGATGACATTTGATTCATTGGGTATCTTCACAAAGTCTGCTATTGTTGGATTTATTTCTGCTAACAAGCTTCCTTTGGTGACAACATTTACTAGAGAAAGTGCACCTTCAATCTTTGAAAGTCAAATTAAGAAACAGGTAAATGTTTTTCAGGATTTTAGACTAAGTTTTAGTTGTGGTCATCAAGTGTAGAGATATCTTTCTTATGAAGGAATTCAGATGGCATAAGTTGTCTTGCATATTGAACTGACTCAGATCATTGTATTCTCAGGTGATGCTATTTACCACATCGAATGATACAGAAAAGTTTTTCCCAGTCTTCCAAGATGCTTCGAGATACTTCAAGGAAAAGGTACTACAACACAATCTTGCCATCATACTACCTGTATAGAAAATTTATTCTTGATCTAGAAAAGATGTTCTTAAGAGATAAATTGTGTTAATGTTTTTTCTTCCTTCCTCCTATTTTCAGGATATAAAGACACATCACATCATTAGAAAGCCTGTTCGATTTATTTTCTTTTCCTTCTACTGCATAGGAGTTTGATATAAACATCATAAAGTAGTGCAGCTTAAATCTGGAAAATACTTCTGCATTTCTTTCCTGCATTTAAGATTTTTAGGGAACTCTTATAGGAGTTGTTTTTTTTTTTTTTTCAGTACAGGGCATTGGGATTCATTTGCTTACTATTGAGTGTTCTACCCGGGTTATGTGTATTTCCATACCATTTAAGCAATGCAGTGTAACTTTTAACATTCTGTAAGTGAAAATTATGTAATGCTCTTTTTTGCATGTAATTATAGTTAGGGAAATGATTTGTTCCCCTCCTGACATGGCTTATAACCATTGGGTGTCATGAATTGGTTGACCCCGCTAACTTGTTATCAAAGACTAAACCTTAGCCATCCAATAAAAAAGTGTCATGTCAGGGGGGACAATTTTGGAGGTGTGTGTAGCATTACTCTTTAGTTAGTATGCAAATTAGATTAAAATTTAAAAAGACAATGACTAAGACAAGCTTTCCCATTTGAAAGATGTTGGTTACAAGGTGATGGACAATTTTTATTATAATTATCCTGGCAAGTGCACGAGTCAATGTAGTAATAAGGTGCAAAAGCAAGGGTCGAACCCACAGGGAATTGATACTAAGCAATTTAATAACTTGAAAGAGTGGACAAAGAAAATACGGTTTGAATTGCAGTGAAATTAAATCAAACAAGAACAACTTAGAAGAATAAAATGATCAAAAAGTCAAGGAAATAGAATTAACGATCAGAATGGATTAACTAAATTAAATTACCAGTAAAAAATAACGGCATGTAAAATACTTGAATAACCTCAAAATAAAATAGCAAGAGATCGAATAAATACTAAGAACATGCATAAATCAATTGGTGGACAACTTAATAACTTGAAATTAAAATAACTAATTAAACAATTTAAAGGAGCTAATTAAGAATCAAATGCAAAATAATTGAGATTCGAGACGCGAAAGAAATGAATTACTGAGAATCAGAATATCAAATAACAATTAAATTGAAAAGGCGAGAAATTAAAGTAATGCAATTTAATAAACTTGAAAATAGTTGAAAAGAATAAACTTAAAAGAGTTGCACATGAAGACTGAATTGCATAATAATAACTCAAGAGTATGTAAAAGTCTTATGGAACAATGACTCAAATAACAGGAAACTTGATTGGTAACAAAACAAAAAGGAAAATCTTAAGAAGATGAATTAACCCACTGCCGTAATCAAAGAAACAAAGGTTGGCAAATTCAATAAAACAAAGAAAAAGCAAATTAAAGAAATAGGTAAAAATGCTTATGTCAATTCAAATGCTGCTGCCAAGATTTACGAATTAATTCTAGTAGCTGGACCTTAGTGTGAGGCCGCCGACCACAAAAGTACTGGCAGAAGCACAGCTGCTCAGAAAATGACCGCCGATTGGAAGCTGTCGCACCAACGCTGAACCGCCAGAACAGAATCGACTATCGTCGACTCAGAAACTACCGCGAACCACCGCCGGAAATCTCCGGGATTGGTTCGGATCAAAATTGGTCGCCGTACCTGCGACGCCTCCGGAATTGGTCCGGGACGATTGATGATGATCATGAACCTCGGCCTCCCTTAATTATATACACCCACGGCTTCCGTCAAAGTCTTGTGCTGAACGATCGGATCTCCCCAAGAATCGGACGCGTTGATGATAATACTGGTTCTGATTTGCGCAAGAACGACTCTCTCGTACGTCAATTGGCGGATGAAGAAATTTATTTGATGGACTCCAAATGTTGACTGCTACTATTTTATTAACTAATAATAATAATAATAATAATAATAATAAAAACTAGAGTCAATAAATTATTGGACTGACATTTTTAATTATAAACTAACTTAATAACAAAAAAAACCCAAAATTAAACAATATTAATAAAAACTACTTATAGCAATAACAAATAAAAATAGATAAAAATTAATCAATTATTATTAATTAATTATAAAAATATCATTAAAAATAACACTAAAAATAATGTTTATCACAAGGCCTGCTTCTAGAATGATGCAAATCCAACAAATGGAAATTGCATGAGTAATTGTTTATTTGTAATCTGGTTTGATCAGTTATGGCCAAATAAAATCCAACCATAAGCCACTTCAATTTTTATTTTTTTTTTCTATAATGGAACTCAAATTGCTGGTGCTTAGATGTCTATAAGCCCTTGCTTCAGTTCTGATTTTTTTTATGATATTTTTGTAAGTTGAAAATTGCTGAAAGCAAAATATGCAAATTCTATTAACTAACATCATTCTTTTGTTTTCCTGACTAAATTCAGCTTATACTTGTGTATATCAAAATTGATGATGAAGATGTTGGAAGGCCTGTAGCAAATTACTTTGGAGTTGAAGGGGATACTGCAAAGGTTACACTTCTCACAAAACTTCATTTCCTATCCTTTGTTGCATGATTGTAAGGGTGGAAAAAAGGAGGCAGTAAGTGCATCTCTAATTTCAGTTTCTTTATTCTAGATAATTGGATACTCAGGACTTGAAGATGCTAAGAAATATATCTTTGATGGGGAGATTACAGTCGAGAAGATTAAGGTTTTAAGTGTCCACTCTCTTTCTCTTGTGTCTTAATCATTTGATCAACATTTTGTGTATTGGTTATTAAACTAAGTTTTTGTTCTCCCTGGCTCTCAATGTGTTAGTCTCTTGCATTTCATTCCATCAGGAATTTGCTGCTAACTTTTTGGAAGACAAGCTCAACCCTTGCTGCTAACTTTGAGTCTCTTGTCATTGCTAAAATGGATGGAATAACAAATGAACACCCTGGTTGCTCGTTTCGATCACCCTCTCTCAATTAACCGAGTTCCTCTTTGATCTGGCAGATTGCTGTCGACTCCGCCAGGACAGTGGTGGCGTTTTACAAGTTTATTAAGAAACACGCTGCTATCCCCTTCAAGCTCCAGAAGCCATCAACCACTACCTCGACTGAGAAGATCAAAGTCAAAGAAGACGTCAAAAGTTCTTCCGGTAAAGTGAAGGATGAATTGTAAGAGCAGACGTGTAACATTAATGTAAGTTTCTTCTTTAGTTTTTTTGTAACATTTGGAACAACAACATTCTATGGACTAATGTTTTCTGAAAATGGTAAATGAAAGGTCTCTTTCCCTTGCGTCTTCTACTCGACAAATGAGCACCAACAATTTTTGTCCTTTTTTCAAAAGGGTAATACAAATCCTGCACAGTGCTCATTATTGCCCTTACGGAATTATAGATGCAGTAATCTTATTCATTGAATTTTTTTAAATTGACATTGTTTTCTCATAAAATGTAAGGGCAGTTTGGTTCTAAGAATAAAAAATTGGTCAAACATTAAGAAAGGAGAATAGATTCTTGGCAGAGGTAAGATCTGTGTGTCTCATTCATATTCTCAATTATCTTCTTGGGGGGCAAAACGTTGGCAGTGATAAGGAACCAGTAATGGGGAGAGAAATCTCAGTGGTGACACTGAATCAATGTGTTGGCTTGAGGTAGTTTCTCCACATGCCTGTTCTATTTACTTGTTACTTTATTAACTGATTTTGTATTACTATTAAACATTATACTATAACCATAAAACTTGGCATAACTACCCACAAATTGGCAGAATTATTCTGTTGACTTGGTTGGAAAGACCAAATGTGGGTTATGTGGCAAAAATAATGTTTGGGGATCAAGTTTGATGGCAACCTAAGAGTCATGCGATAAAAAATGGAAACATTTCATGAACTTATTTATGTTGCTCTGAATAAGGTTCTTCTAGTTATTTCTTAGGCTTTGGCTATTGAGATCTTACGTACATGCATGTAAAAACAATTGACATTGAAGATATATAATGTACACAAATGCAAGCAGGTGTGCTTTAGTTCGAATAAAAATTGGAGAGTGATGCTAAAAATACTCCATACAGATTATTCACAGTCACTTTAGCTATTTTCTTAGTTAATTTGACCAAAGGATTTATAAGTCTTATTTTTGTGTAGCGTGGAAATCCAAATCAAAAGATTGTGAAAAGGAAATACAGGAATGACAGAAAGAGATATCCGTTGCAACAACCATTAGCTCGAGGGACCTTGGGTGGTATTAACTCTAATCATTTTCTTTTGAGTTCATTAGGGCAGCATCATATAGATTAACCATGGATAGATGTTTAGGAATTTGGGCAGTTTTGGTTTTTTAACCCACGGGATGAATGCAAGACTTAGGATACCACTATCCTAAGCACAATCCTTTGTGGTTGATAAAGGTTCTCACAATATTACATTTTAAGTAGTTTATTTTAATTGTTAAAATTTAAAATTTGTAGTAAAATGTTATTAGAATTGAAATTTTAGATTGGTGTGTTTTAGTTGATAGAATTGGTGTGTAGTATATATCTTAAATTGATTAATGTTGAAATATATTATTTGGTAGTTATGTTGGAATGTATAGGAAAATATTGGTAGTTTTATTAAAAAAAAATTAATTTTTTTTTACTATACGCGTCCAAAGTTCACGAACTTTGGACGCAAATTATAATTTTTTAAATCAAAACGTTACCTTTGCGCGTCCAAAGTTCATGAACTTTGGACGCGCAAAGGTAATATTTTGTTTTTTAAAAATGATAATTCGCATCCAAAGTTCAAAATTATCATTTTTTCGCGTCCAAAGTTACTTTGGACGCTAATTGTATCTCCTACATCCGCGTCCAAGCAACTTTGGACGCCTTTTAGCCTTAACTTTGGACGCGAATGACTGTTTTTGTACTAGTGATATCTTTTCTCAAGTTCTTCATCATAATCAACAAGAACAAATTTTCTTGAGAAGAGTCATGATTATCAAAGATGTAATCTCTTAGTATATGTCGGAGTGTTTCTTTCTTCTCAAAAGCGTAACCCTAATTCTTGATCGAATAAGAGTACTTATAGTTCCATAATAAGAACACTCTCCATAGATACCTTTGATTGTAGATGGTAGGACGATATAAGCAGAATGTAATCTTAAAGATCCAGTCCATACCTTTCCAAAACAGATACGCTGATCTTCTTTCTAAAAACTGACTTCTTAAACCGTGTTTTGCAAAAAGGAAATATCTTCGTAAAACAGATCTTCAGTGTCAGTCCCTCTGTTGCTGTATCTGATCAATAAGTCCTTTGTAGAACAAACCGACACCAAGCTAACCCTATCTTAGTTTGCCATAATAATATTGCCAATTATATGTTGGGTTAAATTAAAACACTAACAAACTCCCCCTTTGGCTATTATTTGGCAAAACAACTCGACTACTTATAAAAACACAAACTAGATAGGACTAAGAAAGTAAATGCATAAAATGTCAACTGTCTGATTACAAAGCATAACAAAAACACAGCATACAAGTCATGCTGGAACAAAAACAACATTCTTCGTAGAGGGTGCCATCACAATCAGTCGTCTAGACAGGGCCAGAAGGTACAAAAACTTCAAAACTTCAAAAAAATACTCCCACTGAGTTCCACACTCCCCCTTTTTGCCAATGATAGTCAAAACACGGTCAAGCATCGGAGGGGTTCTCACTGTCAGACTTAGCAGCATCAGCAGCAGTAGATTCCGTTAAGCTTAAGCGGAGAAGAACGGTAGCCAACTCAGTACGGGCCCCTGTCAGCTGCTTCGAAATGATGCCATGAACAGTCTCAAGTTCAGATACCCGAGCCTTTAGATGAAGAGAGAGTTGGACATCTTTCGCGTGTGGCGAATCATCAGCCACTGTATCAGCATCAGCCGTGGAAGGTGCAATTACCGGCGTTACATCTCGGATGTGACCTCCAGTCAGAAGACGAGGATCAACAGTATACAGCAGAGTCGGACTGATCACCTCACTAGGCATTGGCTCAAGGCCCTGCGTTGTTAGAACTCAAAATATCAGATTAGGGAAGGGCAACCGTACCTTCTGCTCTCGATGATGGATCAAAGAGAGGATATGATAATAAATCCAGGACCCCAAATCAATAGACATTTTTGTTCCAATCCGAAACAAGAGAGCTGCAAATTGCTTGCCGACCGTATGAAAATGAGCCGATGGAAGCCAGTTGTGAGGAGCGAGACGGTGCAAGATGACATATTTGGAGGTGAGCTGTGAGCTAGGCAGATAATCTTTTTCACCAGTAGGCCATGTATCAGTTTGTCCACCTGTGAGGGTCTTTGCCACCAAATCCCAGTCCTTGAGTTCTTCCTCGTGCACTCCTTTCAGACCATAATATTCATTTATCATGTCAAGGCCGAAGACATACCATTTACCTCGAATGAAGATTCGCATTGGCCGCGTCCCGGTCAAATTGTCAATCTCCTCATTAAGGTTACAGTAGAACTCATAGGTCAGAAGCTTCGAATAAGGACAAATGGAGGAGATAGTCTTCAACAGGCCCACTTCACTCAGCAAGGGCAAGATGTCGCACACAGAGTTCAACTGATGTTCATCAACGGACCGCTGAACAATAAGGTCTCTCCGGATCATTGTGGACCATTTTCCCTGAGCAGTAGAGGAGACAAACTGGGGTTTATAGATTGATGTGTCAGGATTCTCAGCAGAAGGTAGAACCTCAGGCGTAATACTTCGTCCTCTGGAGCGAGTAATTGGTTTCCCCTTCCGGGTAGAAGATGTGGGAACCACAGCAGGAGCTTTTTGCTTAACAGATGACCGCAGGGTTTTGAACACTTGTTGAACAGGAGAATTAGATTCAATATGCACAGACTCATCAGACTTTCTCTTCTTCTCAGGTTGAACCACATCAAGATTGTCATCACCAGATTCCACAACCACTTTCACAGGGACACTCTTCCGTTTGGATTTTCTTGTTTCTTTGGATGGGGAAGGAGCAGAAGGGCTTGGAGACACAGAGTGGCTGGAATCAGAAACATGAGCAGAGGAACTTCCAAGCAGATTTGTAACTTCACGAATCTTGAAGGTGGTTGAATCAGGATGTGCAGTAGCTTCAACAGTTGGGGGCTTAGACACAGGAGCTTGTGAGTCATAGACTTCAGCAAGAATTTTATCGTCTTCACTAGACGACTCAGAAAGATGAATCACACGATATGGTTCTGGTATAGAGACAGCGGGTAAACCTGCAAAGTGCCGGACATGTTCAAGACTCTCAGCCAATGATGATGAAGTATAGACAGGCACCCCATCTTTTTGAACAGCAGCCTCAACTTCAGTGGGTAAACTGGAGGGATTCTCAGATGGACAGCTTTCATTCGGAGATGCAGCAATTTCAGAAGGAGGCAGAGCAACTTTATCAGCAGAGTAAACAACCAAACTCAGATTGTTGGACTGCTCAGACGGTTTATCTTTCTCATCAGACACATCATCAACAACAACTTTCAAAGGTTCAGGCTCCGTAGAGGGGATACAGGGGGATCATCATACACAGAGGATTTCACATATATTAACTCATTCACATTATCAGAAACAGTTGGCACAGCAGACGGAATAGCATCAGAGACTAAATCATCAGGCTTATCAGGAGAGATTTCAATAGGAGAAACAGAAGAATTTGACCTGTTACGGAGAATCTCAAGCCGGTGTCTGGTTTCATCCTTGGCAGCCTGTAGGTATAGGGGTTGTGCAGCTGCTCGACGACGTGAGACCTCTTCTGACTCAAGAGCCCTTTGTGCAAAGTAGTGAAGAAACGCCCCAGCACGATTTCCATCTGAGGGCTCTGGAATAGATGCTGGACTAACCTCATCACTCGCTTCGGAGGCCAGCAACAAGAGCTCACTAATGTCATCTTCGGACCAGTCGGCGTAGAACTC